TTCTACCTCTTGGCTATTGTGAATAACACTGCAATGAATATGGAAGTAGAAATATCTCTTCAAGATCCTGCTTTGAATTTTTTATGAATACCCTGAAGTCGAGTTATTGGATCATGAGATAATTCTACTTTTAGTGTTTTGAGGAACATTCTTACTGTTTTTCATAGTGGCTGCAAAACTTTATATTCTATCAATAGTGTACTAGAGTTCCTATTTCTCTACATCTGGCCCAGCACTTGTTATTTTCTGTTTTTTGATGATAACCGTCCTAATGAGTGTGAGATAATATCTTATTGTGGTTTTGATTTACATTTTTCTGATGATTAGGGATGTTAAGCATCTTTTAATATGCTTATTGGCCATTTGTTTATCTTCTTTAGAGAAATGTTTATTCAAGTCCTTTGTCCATGTATGTAACTTTTTAAGGTTACTTTTGTTGTTGTTGACTTATAGGAGTTCTTTATTCTAATATTCTGGATATTAACCCCTTATCAGACATATGATTTGCCATTATTTGTTCCCATTATATAGGTTGTCCTCACTCCCTTGATTATTTCCTTATATGCAGAAGTTGTAAAATTTGATGGAATCTCATTTTTCTATTTTAATTTTTGTTGCCTGTGCTTTTGGTATCATATCTAAGATGTCATTGCCAAGTCCAATGTCATGAGGTCTTTCCCTTATGTTTTCTTCTAGGAGTATTATAGCTTTAGGTCCTACATTTAGGTCCTTAATTCATTTTGAGTTAATTTTTGTATATGGTATAAGGTAAGGCTCCAACTTCATTCTTTTGCGTGTGGCTGTCCAGTTTTCTCAACATCATTTGTTGAAGAGACAGTTTCTTCCCCATTTTGTGGTCTTGGCAGCCTTGTTGATGATCATTCGACCATATATGTAAGGGTTTATTTCTGAGCTCTCTACATACTATTCCACTGGTCTCTGTGTCTATCTTTATGTTAGTTCCACATTGTTTTTACTATTGTAGCTTTACTGTAACTTTGTAATATATTTTGATAACAGAAATCATGCTATGGACTTTTGGGAATAATACCATGGAGGTGAAGTATCTTTCTCATGGCATCATATTGAGGGGTATATGATATCGACACAACTTATTACTGGTGATATTAACCTTGATCACTGGGTAAGGTGGTATCTGCCAGATTTCTTCACTGTAGAAGTTATCCTTTTTTCCTTTCTATACTCCATGAAGTAGAAGCAAGTCACTAAGTCCAACCCACACTGAAGAAGAAGGGAATGAAGCTCCACCTCCAGAAGGAAGGAGTATCAAAAAATTTATGGACATTTGTTAAAACCACCCACAGTATTATTAATATGATAGGGGAGGGATATTTTGAGGCTATTCAAGTATCCTGTTTCTCTTTACAGTTTCCCTGACTAAATTTTATTATTCCTCAGTGGATTTTGCCTGCCCCAGTTATTTTAGTATGGTGTTCCAATGGTGATTTTCTACTTCCTCTATTCCTTTTATGTTATTATTTGAAATCCGTAAGGAAGATTTATCTTTTTCCCCATATTTAGTTATTTATTTGATTGTTTACGTAGTTCTATTTGGACTCACTGAAATTCGTTTTATTCTTTGGGTTGTAATCCAGTGTCCTCAGTATTTATTTTGTTACTCAAATTTTTCTGGCTTTGACCATTGGGAATTCTTTCAGGTTGCCTCCTGTGTCCTTTTGACATACCCGCATCTTTGTTTTTGTTTTCTTTTTTAACCATTTCCTCTCTGACACTGTAAGATGTTTCAGGCTATTATTATATTTTTCCTGTCCCAGCCTTGTCTCCAGGAAGCCCTGGTTCTGTAATTGGAGAATGGTATTTAGAAACTAAGATCCGGCTCTGCGTATGATTTTCGTTGCTGAGGTGTTACTGCTTGTAGACCCTGTCACCTCATAGAGTTAGAAAATACATGTGGTTATACTAACTCATGTATACAGGTATTGGTATCCATTTCTGTCAGCTGTGTTTATTTCTGTTACCTATCAGATAGATACTTTTTGACAGTTTAGTGAAAGAACATTCTACTTTCTTCCATGTTTTGGACGTGTGTTTTATAAATGGTTAATTCAGAATGCTGTGGGAATTTGCATTGGCATCCTGACTTCCCAATACATATTGTAATTTTGCATAAGATTTTAGATAAAACAACTTTTCAGTCAGATTTACTTTATTACAGTAATATATGTAATTTCACAAATATTTAAGTCCTAAATGGAGGGGGCACTCATTAAGTCTAGACTCTTTTTTCTTTTTAATGCTGTCATTGCTGAAATAATATTTATGTAAGCCTGTTCTTTTATAAGAGAGAGTCTTAACAATTTTGAATCTTTCTTCTATTTTGAAGCTTTAATGATAACCTTAAGGGATCTAAATGTGTGTGTGTGTGTGTGTGTGTGTGTGTGTGTGTGTGTGTGTGTAAAATCCTCATTTCACAAAAGACTTATGGGCTTTAACATGCTAGATGAGGGCAAAGCTTTTAAATTCTTTGCTTTTACAAGGCTTTCTTTTAATAGATTTGAATGGATCAAAATGTCTTAACTTGTCACTGAAGCCTCTAGTAATAATCCTTAGAAAAAAATTTCCTTTTTCTAGTTCCTTATTTTTACTTTTTTGTATTTATAAAACTCTTGGAAGGTACAAATGACCTTTTATGAAATTTAAAATCGATGGCCGAGTTGAGACATTTTGTGTAAATGGGGATTTGTCTTCCAAGTTTAGTTTGACCGTATATAAGAATTTTTTCAGCCTAAGAGATAATGGGACTTTGTTTTGCTATGTTTTTCTGTATGTTTTAAGGGATAATTTTTTTGTCTAAGTATAAAACATTTTTGTTAAGGTGGGCAGTCAAAAATACTATCTTTTTGTTTTTTAAGTTTATTTATTTTGAGAGAGTGAGTATGCACTAGTAGGGGAAGGGGAGAGAGAGAGAGAATCACATGTGGGGATTGAACTCATGAACTGTGAGATCGGGACCTGAGTCAAAGCTGGACACTTAACTGACTGAGCCATCCAGGTGTCCCCAAAATACTATCTTAATGATAGCCATAAATTTGAAAATAACTCCATAAATCCTCTGGCCTTTTTATATTGTAATTATGATGACTGTGGCAATACTACAATTTTTAAATTGTAATACTAAAATTTTTAAATTTAAATTTTAGGACTATAATGTAAAAAAATACAAAAAAAAATACAAAAAAAAAAAAAAAGGGAAACCTGGGTGGTCTGGGTTCGACCTCTGGGCTTCCCAGCCGATCTCACAGGTCCTGAGTTGAGCCCGCGCGTCAGAGCTCAGGCGAGCCTGACCAGAGCCCTGGAGCCATTTCGATTCTGTGTCTCCCTATACTTTCTCGCCCCTCCGTTCATGCTCTGTCTCTCTGTCCCAAAAACTCATAAATATAAACGTTGAAAAAAAATGAAGATTGCCCCCCACAAAAGGCACAAGTGTTCTGTGTTTGTATTAATTAATATATTTACATTTTACTTTAAGTGTTTCTACTGTAACATTATTTTATAATATTTTCATTGCAGGAATAAAATGTTCCTATGGATAGGCTTTGATGCAATGGGACTGATGGGTGATTCAGGCAACCAGTTTATTTTTTTGTGGGGAGAGGAATAAGCTAAAGGGAGTGGATCAGTTTATGTACCATTGGTTTCACAGCTTTTTTTTTATTTCCAAGTTTTTCCCTGTTGGGAGAAATATACTGAGGTATTTCTGGCTGTATCTATCTCAGAAAAACTGGTCGCTGTTCTGCTGGTCCTCAAGGTCTCCTTTGAAGGAAAAGTACCAGCTTGACAGCAACTGCCGACATAATCTCCCTGCACAACTATTTCCTCAATTCCTCCAGTTAAAAAAAAACCCCTGTGTGGCGGTAATTTTTCATTTTAAATCACCTTATCTGAGGCACCTGGTGGCGCAGTCAGTTAGCATCCGACTTCAACCAAGGTCAGATCTCCCTGGGTTCGTGGTTAGAGGAGCCCAGGCTCTGGTGACCAGCCAGGCCTGGAGCCTGTTCGATTCACCTTGTCTCACTACTCTCTGCCCCTCCCAGTTCTCTGTGTCTCTCTCATCCCAAAATAAATAAACGTTGAAAAAAAAAATTAAAAAAAAAAAAAAAAAAAAAATAAATCCTTATCTGAATGCTATAGTCCTGGAAATTTCTGGAGCAAGAAAATGCACTGTAGTGAATTCTCTGCTATCCATGTTAGTGATGGAATTGGAAAATAGTACAGACTAGATCAATTTTACTCTATGATTTTTGACTCTATGATTATCATATTTTAGAAATGTAGTTGATGTTAATAGGAGTTGACATTCTCTGAGCATGTATTACCTGATAAGAATCTGATAATTAGAGCATTAGCAACAGTTTATTTATTATGAATAGGTTTTTTCTTGATTTGTTGTACCTTGAAAAAATTCACATTTTGGTTTTTCATAATTCACAATTCATAACTCTAGACTTGACAGTAATCTTTATGACTAACAATTAGGAGCTCCAGCTTCCCATTTCCTATTAGACAATTAGCATCTGTTTCCCAATTCAGAATGCTTGGGAAGTGACCTAGCTAGATGCACACCTCTCTTTATGCTAGAGAAGATTATATTAGATACAGGCAAAGTGATACTGGTACTACCAAATACTTTAGGAATAAAATAGTTTTTATAATATGTGAAACTAGCTATCACTTATAACAAAGATTCTTTAGGAAAATGCTTTTCAAGTTTCAGATAGACTGAGATAGGAACATCATCTATAAATCATGAGTTTTACTGTTGTAGATTTCATTCTTTTCTGTTAGTAAAAAAAATTCATTTATAAGCAAATTTCATTCATTTCTCTTATTCTCCACCTTCCTTTTCCTGATTGGTTTTATAATTATCATGGATCTTATTGAGCACTGAAATGAGAATGAGATAAATTTTTCTCAGTGTTAGCCCAAGAATTGATTGAAATTGTTTTTGTTTCTTTTAGGAAATCCACCTTCTTCAATGTATTAACTAATAGTCAGGCTTCAGCAGAAAACTTCCCATTCTGCACTATTGATCCTAATGAGAGCAGAGTACCTGTGCCAGATGAAAGGTTTGACTTTCTTTGCAAGTACCACAAACCAGCAAGGTAAGAAAATCTTTATGCTATTATTTATTTGGTGGCCCTATATAGACGCAGTAAATATGTGTAAATGATGTATTTAAAATCATATACGGGGCTCCTGGCTGGCTTGGTTGCTGGAACATGCATCTCCTCATCTCCGGGTTGTGAGTTCGAGCCACAAGTGTGGTGTAGAGTTTACTTTAAAATAAGTAAGTAAGTAAGTAAATAAATAAAATCATTTAGAAGTTTTTTTCTCCAGAATTTATGGTTGTATTATGGGTGATTATAAAAATAATGTAGGGCATAGAGAAAGGTGAGGAAGGATACATCTGGCAGTTAACATTGCAGTTACTTTTTTTCTGAGGAGTATGAAGTAGAGGGAGTAAGCAGCCTGTATAATATTCCATTCACGTGGGGCGCCTGGGTGGCTCAGTCGGTTAAGCGTCCGACTTCGGCTCAGGTCATGATCTCACGGTCCGTGAGTTCGAGCCCCGCGTCGGGCTCTCTGCTGACAGCCCAGAGCCTGGAGCCTGTTTCAGATTCTGTGTCTCCCTCTCTCTCTGACCCTCCCCCATTCATGCTCTGTCTCTCTCTGTCTCAAAAATAAACAAACACTAAAATTATATGTGTGCATGTATATTCATAGGAAAATATATGAAGCTGTTTGATGGTTATCTTTGGGTAGTGGAATTTTTAGGTGCTTTTTACTTTTTCATATTCTGTATCATTTGAGGTTTTTGTAACAATTTAGTTTGCCTTTAGTTTCTCACTATTTTAGATGTGGTGATAAATCCTAAGTTTCTGCCTCTATTCCTGAATTTGCCTTCTTGATATTGGCACCTGCATGACTAAATAAGCGCCTCAGACTTGACATGTCCAAAATGGACCTCTTGATTTTCATCCTGCCTGTGCTAAGTTTGTTCTTTAAGACTTTCATATTTCAGTAAATAGCACTATTATTTTCCCAGTTGCTTAAGTCAAAGTCCAAGATTTATCTTTGATACCTCTTTCATCATCTCTAGATCTAGTCTATAAGCAATTCTTATGAGTACTAATCACAAAATATATACCACATTTATTTAGTTTTTCTACTTTCATCCATTTGTTTGAGTATCCGTTTTTTTTTATGAATTAAGAATTATAATGATGATTGCCATATGATTTTATAATTCTATCCATTTGTTAATCATTTATTGGCATTCTTCTGTAAGGAAGAGCTTTCTTGTCTGCATTTATTCACTCATGTATTCATTCATGTGTTACTCAGTTGGTTACAATGTCACAGTCATTGGGCATAGTTCAAATTACATTCCTGAAATTGGCTCCTCAAAGTGACTTCTGTTTTCTTTTTAAATGTGTGTGTGTGTGTGTGTGTGTGTGTGTGTGTGTGTGTGTGTTTTAGGTTTATTTATTTTGAGAGAGAGAGAACTCTTGTGCCTGTGTGAGGGGGTGGGGGGAGGGAGAACGAGAGAGAGAGCCCAATATGGGGCTTGAACTCATGAACTGTGAAGTATGACCTGAGCCGAAACCAAGAGTTGGATGTTTAACCAACTGAACCACCCAAGAGCCCCTGTTTTCTCTTTAAAACCTTTTTATTTTTAAAAGATTGCAAATTATACAAAAGAGGCAAAATTACTCATAGAATGCTTATGTGCCCTTCTCCCAAGTTTCTTTGAACCTTTGAGAGTGAGTTGCAGACATGATGCCACATTGCACTTCCATTCTTCCATTTGTATTTACTAAATACAGACCATTCTCTTACATTCCCACAGTAAATCACCAATCAGGGCATTAACATTGATACAGTATTACCATCTGATTCATAGATTCCATTTAGATTTCTCCAGTTGTCCCATTGATGTGCCTGTTTGTTCAATTCCTTTGTATGTAGCCAGTCTTTTGACCCCTCTGGCTTGTTGACTGATTTGGAGCTGCTGATTTGGTCCCTGGCTACTGCTAGATTGCTCTCCTGCCAAGATGCCTTGTACAGGCCCCGGTTGCTATTGTGCTGCCTTTTCTCCCCATTCTGACTCTTTAGATGTGGGCCCTTGTCACTGCTAGACTGTGTGGTCATGTGACATTGCTGAAATTCTTCAGAGACCTGAAGAGAAAAACAATAGCAATAAAGCTCTTAGACTTCCAATTTGTTGAAATTTTAGGCAGTGAGGGAATTAACTTCTCAAAATTTCCTTTTTCTTTTGTCAGTGAACATTGATTAAATGCCTTAATGGAAATAAAAAGATTGAATGGGGGTGTGTGCCTGGGTGGCTTAGTCGGTTAGGCTGCTGACTTGGGCTCAGGTTTTCTCATGGTTTGTGAGTTCGAGCCCCGTGTCGGGCTCTGTGCTGACAGTTCAGAGCCTGGAGCCTGCTTCAGATTCTGTGTCTCCCTCTCTGTCTGCCCCTCCCCTGATCGCACTCTTTCTCTATCAAAAACAAGTAAACATTAAAAAAATTAAAAAATAAAGTTATATGTGGATATTTGCACGGGGGTTGGCACCCCTCACCCCTGTTTTGCTCAAGAGTCAACTTAATCTCCATACTTACATGACTGACTGACTGGCTTTCATAACTTGGTTTCTAACTTGTGTTAATTGTACCTTATTTTGAGCAAAGCAAAAGTTATTTCATATATACCTCTATTTGTGTTGCTGTTGTTAACAACCAGGTTATTACTGTGCTGATAACTGGTTCACATCATTACATACATTTTTTATTTATATAACCTATGTGATGATTTTTTTTAAGTTATTTATTTTGAGGAGAGGGGAGGGGCAGAGAGATAGGGAGAAGAGAATCTTAAGCAGTCTCCCTGTTGCCAGCACAGAGCCTGACACAGGGCTTGATCCCATGAATGAAATCATGACCGTAGCCGAGATTAAGAGCTGGTTACTTAACTGACTGGGGCGCCCCAGCTTACATGATGATTAAATGCAAATCCAGATATCCTGTGTTTGAATCCTATTTTTGTTACCACTAGCTGAGTGATCCCCTATATGTAAATAGGTTTCTTAACTCCTCTCAGGCCCAATTTCCTCATCTTTAAAGTAGGTTTAATAAGTAGCACTTACCTAATGGAGTTGTTTTGAACTTTGAGTGATTCATGTAAAGCAGTTAGTCCAGTGCCAGTCACAAGTTATGTTGGCTGATTCTGTGGCGATTACCTTCCCTTGTTTCAGTGTACTCTTTAAATGTTCTCCACTGCTTTTGTGTCTTTACGCATGGGCCAACAGGACAGTATAGTAAAATTAATGGTATGAGGGTTTTTTTTAATGTTTACTTAATTTTGAGAGAGAAAGAGAGCATGTGCACATATGAATGTGCACGAGTGAGGGAGGGGCAGAGAGAGAGAGAGAGGGCGAGAGAATCTGAAGCAGGCTCCGTCCGCACTGATAGCAGAGCTCGAACTCACAAACTGTGAGATCGTTACCTTAGCTGAAGTCGGATGCTTAACTGACTGAACCACCCAAGAACCCTGAGTTTTTTGTTTTTTGTTTTAAAAGTTTATTTATTTTGAGATAGAGAGCAAGTGAGCAGATGAGGGACAGAGAGAGACAGAGGGGGAGAGAGAGAGCCCCAAACAGGTTCGGTTCCACACTGACAGAGTGGAGCTGGACGTGGGGCTTGATCTCACGAAAACAGTTTCTTAGTATTGTTTTATAATAAAACCATCTTTTGTTTTTTAGCAAAATTCCTGCCTTTCTAAATGTGGTGGATATTGCTGGACTTGTGAAAGGAGCTCACAATGGGCAAGGCCTGGGAAATGCCTTTTTATCTCATATCAGTGCTTGTGATGGGATCTTTCATCTAACACGTAAGTACAGTTGTTTATTTAATTCATTCATTTCATTAATAGTCAGTTGTATTTCCATTATTGCTCAAATAAAATTAGAAATGACTAATAGAAGATTTGCCTAGCTTCACAAGATGAATCATGGATTGGTCAGCTAATTGTGACTTTAGTGTTATTTACTATCATTTCCATATAAGAAGGCGTATTCCAAAGCAAGTATATGCTGTATTGATACTTCAGTTGAATTTCATCCCTTATTCTGGATTAGATCCACTGGGAAGTGTTTCTATGTGGAAGTAATTTTGTTGATTATAAAGCATTTTGACATTTTCTTAACTTGTGGAACTTTTCTGCATTCTTGGTTTTCTATGTGTTGAGAGGGCAGGATTGATACAGGAGAGGATTCCATTATTTCAGAGGTTATTTATTAGAGATGACAGGGTTAAGGAGAAACTATAGACCAGCTATTCCTTAATGGGGGTGGGGGGATATACAGCAAAGGGAACAACCTGTTAGAACTAGGTGTTAATGTTCTTTTGACTACAAAAGTGAGCCAAGAATATAGTAATTCTCTGATAGAAAGGTTTAGATTGGGCTTCGGTTAAGGTTCAGGTCAAGACTGCACTGCAGGATATTATAATGGTCTGGTGTTGTAATGAACAAATCCGTGCAAATGAAGGAAACTCAGGTTAGAGGTACAGGCCAGTTGTGGTCTGATTTAGTGCTTTTGTTTGTTTCTGGTCCAAGACTAGATAACTATAGCAATTATAAATGAGCATTTAGAAAATTTGATAGCCATTTGACTGAGAAATTTGTCATTTGAATCTAATAAGTTGTATTAGCATTTATACTAATTAGTATTATAAAGTACTAATACTAATTTATAAAATAATAAAATAGTAATACTAAATACTAAAATAAATTGTATTAGTATTTACACTAATTAGTACTGTCTAGTATTTTTGTAGGTTTTTTAAAAAATTCATTTGCCTAGTAATTCATTTTTATTGTATTTTACAAAAGTCCACCTCAAATAGTTTGAGAAGCACTGATTTAATTGGGTGGAGGTATATAGACACCTTCTGGAAGGGTTTGAGGTGCAGGTGAAGACTAGGGTTATGGTTGGGGTTGCTTGGGTGGGAGGGTGGAATTCAATAATGTAGAGTAGTGTTACTTAAAGCCTTACATTGGTAAGAGCCTTTGTTTTCCCAACACTTTGACTTTTTACTGGTTCTGGTGACTGATGTGAGAGTTTCAAAGAGATTTGGAATCAAGTGTGACTCCTGGGTTTTTGGACTGGGCCAGTTGAATGAATCTTGATGCCATTCACTGAAATGTTAAATGTAGAAGGACCAAGAAGTCTTGGGAGAGAGTTGATGAGGTCAGTTTGGGACAGTTTCTTTGCATTTTTGAGCCTAGGACATACAGATAGAAGATATCTTTAAGAAAGTAGGATTGATAGGGCAGGTGTGACAGGAAGATGGGGGTAAGAGAACTGAAGTTTTGGGTGTGAGAGGGATTGAACTGATGGATGGAATAGAGCTTGACATGAGGTAGGAGGGAACATAGGAGAGGACTGAAAAATGGAAGGGTCATGGATCTGATTACCTGAGGAGGTTCAAGAACAGATATGTTGGGTATAATGGGGTGTGTGCTTAGAAAGGGATATTTGGGGGCACCTGGGTGGCTCAGTCGGTTAAGTATTTGACTTCAGCTCAGCTCATGATCTTGCGGTTTGTGAGTTCGAGCCTCGTGTTGGGCTCTGCTGATAGCCTGGAGCCTACTTTGGATTCTATGCCTCTCTCTCTCTCTCTGCCCATCCCCCACCCATGCTCTGCGTCTCTCTCTTAAAAGTAAATAAACATTAAAAAAAAGGAAAGGGATATTTGACTTAAAATTTTCTGAAGTGGAGCAGTTCAGGGTGATGGTAAGATCCTGATAATGGCCTAAAACCATCGGTAAATGTAATCAAGTCTTTGGTTTGTTATCTGTTGTATAACATTCATCTGTTTTTCTAACCCTTAGGGAAAATGAATTTGGTTAGGAGCATATATACTTTATTGCATTTCATTCAGGCTAAAACTATTATAAAGAAAAAAGAAGTCTGTTTAAACTAGATACCCTGGTTTCTTATAGTAATTTGATTTCAGAGGTATTAACTTGTAAAAATATGCATCTTAAAATTGATGATATACGGTATATATTATTGTATAGTGCATAGAGCCTAGGATGATAGTTGTATAACCAGAATTTTCAAAACATCTTCATGGAATTACAATCAGTAAAAAAGACTTGTAGAGATTAAATAGATACAATGATTACCTTGAAGCTGTGAAAATTGGGAATTCTTTAATTCTAAATTATAATATATTTTTGTCTTTAACAATCAGATTATGGAATGACTGTGAAAAAAATTTTATCTTTCATATTACTCATTATTTAAAGATTATTTTCTTCAAATATCTTAAAGTCACCAGAAATGCAGTTGACTTGTTTATTTATTAAATAGTAAATGCTTTGTGTTCTGGGTGCTGGAAATAGATAGTGGGTGGCAGAATCTAACATTCTCTGGTTTTATGAAGCTTCTAGTCTGGTAGTGGAAATAAACACTGAATCATTATATTAATAAATGTGTAATCACATTGTTGGATTTGTACTTTTTTTTTTTTTTTTTTTACCTCACTGGGGAATTGCTTACTTATTTGCTTATTACCATGTTTGAAACTTGTTTGAATTCTTAAGTTCATCATTTCTTATTTTGGTGAAAAAAATCAGTTTTCTGTGTTTATATTTTTTAGTTTTTCTGTTTTTGTTTTAGATAGTTGAATTAAAGCTACCAAGGAAGGGGATGGGGCATCTGGCTGGCTCCGTTGGCAGGGCATGTGACTTTTGATCTCAGGGTCATGAGTTTGAGTCCCACGTTGGGTGTGGAGATGGTTTTAAAAAAAACTACTAAGGAAAGGGACAGCATCGTGATGATATCTATTAGTGTCTAGGGCACTTTTAAGCTTTCCATTAGAACATGTGAAAGTTAGGAGAGAGAAAAAATTATGAGTGGGAAATTTTGGTTTATTTATTAATTTATTAATGCTATGCTTTTCTACATTAATTTAATTTTTAAAAATTAAACTTTCTCTCACCTTGTTTACTTCCCTTGGTTATTAGGCATTTGTAAATACCTACATTGCCTCAAAAATGTATTCTTGTTTTAAATATAAATACTTTGACAGGTTTTCTTTGGCTTTAAATCATTAGCTCACTCTATCTTATTAATTTGACATATTAAAATTTTTTTATGTTATTTTATTTTGAGAGAGAGAGAGAGAGAGAGCAAGCACAAGCTGGGGAGGGACAGAGAGAAGGAGAGAGAGAATTCCAAGCAGGTTCTGCACTATTAGTGCAGAGCCTGATGTGAGGCTGGAACTCACGAACCCTGAGGTCATCATTGAGCTGAGATCAAGAGTCAGATGCTTAACCAACTGAGCCACCCACGTGCCCCTCATTTGACACATTATTTATGGAACACCTCTTTCAAGTGTGCTAGATGCTGAAGGATGTGATAGTGGGTAAGAACAGGTAAGACTCTAAAGAGGTTAGAGTGGGAGAGAGCCAAAGCATAAGAGACTGTCGAGAACTGAGAACAAACTAAGGGTTGATGGGGGGTGGGAGGGAGGAGAGGGTGGGTGATGGGTACTGAGGAGGGCACCTTTTGGGATGAGCACTGGGTGTTGTATGGAAACCAATTTGACAATAAATT